CCATCATCTTATGAGCGATAAGGGGGCTAATAAGTTTATCAAGTGATAGAGTTTTTAAGTTCTTCACTTCAATGATCGCCGTCTTCTTCGATTGCCAATATTTTGGAAGAGAATATATCATCTTCCTAACAAGCTTCTCGTTAGGGATGATCTCTCAATATCCCCTTGAGACCGTTGACTATCATAGAAAATTAATCCGCCATAGCTTTGATATCTTCATTCGGTTTCATCTTGAAATTCTCGTAGCTGTAATTAAGAATACCAATTTTCATTTACCTCACTTCATTGGTTCCTTCATGAGTGACTTGGAGCTTATCCCAAATCTCTTTGGCATTTAAACAAGATGAGACTCTTCCATATTCATTCGGGACTAATGCGCAAAACAAAATGTGCATGGCCTTAGCATTGAGTTGAAACTCTTTCTTCTTTATTCACTCTATTCCGCCATAGCTCTAGTTGGAGTAGAGTGACTCGTCAAGATAGAGCTCCAAGCATCTAGATCGGTAGCTTGAATGAAGAGCATCATCATATTCTTCCAATAAGCATAATTTGCTCCATTGAAATAGGGTGTCTTGTTAATTGGTTGAGAATCTTCGATGTAGTAAGCGCCGGAGGAAAAAACCATCTTCTCGATTGCTTTAGGAAATTGATAGGAGCCTTCAAGGATCTTCACAAGGTTGTTAGACCTTCGATTTGTGATCCGTTTTGATACCAATTGTTAGGCTCGATGAAGCTCATTTGATCAATTGAAAATGTGCTAAGAGGGGGTGAATTGACTTTTTGAAATTTTAGGGAGTAAGGAGTAAAAAGATAGGAAAATTTTCACAATGATTTATAGTGGTTCAACTTCCTTAGTGAAGTCTACATCCACTACCTAAGCTCGAATTTTCCAACAAATTCACTAATTTGTTCTTTCTTTTTCAAGGACAAAGAGATGAGCTTTACAAACTCCCTAGCTTTTCAAAGGCTTAGCTAGAACCAAAACCCCTTTACAAAGGTGGAAAGATGTAAACAAGAAAAACCCTTACAAGGTAGGTGTTTACACAATTTAGCTCTCTAAAACACACTATTTACAAGAGAAAACAAAGAATGAAAAATGAAAACTTTTCTCTTGATGATCAATGCTTGGACAGGTGTTATGTAACCTTCTTCAAGTTTCTTGAAATTATTTTTATATGTTGGAATGAGTTACTAGCAGTTTGGGATGGTTTGGAGTCGTTGGAAGACTTTCTGCACACAAAGTTTCGAAACTCTAGGGAAAGTTTCGAAACTCTTCGAAAAAGCCATTGGAAAAATTTGACCGTTGGAGCCAAAGTATCGAAATTTTAAGGAAAGTTTCGAAACTCTTGAGATAGTTTCGAAACTCTTGAAAGTATCGAAACTTTTTGGACTATATTGTTGTGGAAAGTTTCGAAACTCTTGTAGAAGTTTCGAAACTTCTAGTCAAAAGGTTTTGATTGGACTTTGAATTATTTAGATGAAAACTTTGAATAAATTCAATTTTTTCCAAAAACATTTTCCCTTTATTTTTTATATCAAATTATTACTTCTACAGAATCTTTTGAGAGCAATATTCATAAACCATGTGGGTCATGACTAAGCTTCTTCTGCTCTTTAAACCAATGATAATCAATCAAATTATAAGGATTGCTATAATCTTAGGTCATGAAGGGAATAGGATGCTTCTCCGATTTATCATTTGTTTCCTGTGTGATTATGTTATTGGTACAACTGGTTTCAGTTCATAGGATGGACTAATTATAGTTTATTTTATACTAAACTATAGGATGTTTATTTGCAGAGGAAGAGATTCTTTTATGAACAAAGAATGACGAACCAACCAATTGATCAAAATAAAATAATAAATAATAAAACTGACTAACTACTACCATTATTTCTTTGTGATGCATACGCACACCACATGTGCAGCAAACATTTTTTTATCCCCAAAAATATAAAGGTCAAAATATTCTTTCTTTGGTGACGTCCGTAATTTTCTGATTCAAATCTCATTCATACACTTTTTCCCTTGAAAACTACCATGCACTTCCTTCTGCTTTCATCTATAGACTTTGATTACTGGACTAAACTCTATCTTACCCTTTGCAATTTTAGTCCTAAAACATTTGGAATGCAACTTGGACATACACTTTTGTCCGCTTCCCCGACGCACGTTTTAACCAAAAGGAATGGTTTTTCTTTTCTGCCTTCCAAATCTTTAGGGATTGCATTAATCTAAAAAGTATGCATTATATTTATATTTATTAGTGTATTAATTTGTAACTTAATGAATCACATCTTAATTTATAACATGTTCTACGTGAATGTACTGCTGCTAGGCCTATTTGGTTGCAGGTAATAATGCAATATTCAAAAATCATGCACTTCTGTAAACTTTCCTTCTATCAATGGGTGAAAATGAACTTGCAGGAAAATGAAAATTTCTCAATCTTTAATCAGGGTTGGAATAATCTTCTTGCAAGTCTGTGTTGGAATATTTGGAAGAGACGAAATACTATGCTTTTTTTTATGTTCATTTTGTATAGAGATTGTGTGATAACCATTTTTTTTAAAACAATTAGGTTTAAAAAACAATTATGACTTATTTGGAAAATTTTGGAATTTTGAATTAATTTGGATGGGAGTCGCCATCGACCTTTGAGTTAGGTAGGTCGAATACCTAAAACGTCTTTTAAAACAATTTTAAGAAAAATCGTCTTCTTTAATACAACAATTGGTCTACGTTTACCAAAAATTCAATTTAATGGGTCCGGGAGTCGATTACAAGTGGGGAAAGATAAACACCCCCACAACACCCAAAAATTAGTACTTAGTCGCTTATACGTTGTCGTAATTGTGAAAATTACAAATTGAATATAAAGTTAAAATATGATCAATTTATTGAACCTTGATTAAAATTAATTTTTTCAGTTAAGTCTAGTTTTATTCACCCTTAATTGGACTTTTAATTTGTTTTCATCACGGTCATTGTAATAAAAAAATATTGGCATGTAATATTAAAGTCTTCTCCCCAAAAAAATCATAATAGACTTCATATTTATGGTCACAATAAAAGGGTCAATTTTTTGTGAACAAAATAATAGGCAATTAATCCCAATAGTCGGAGGAATCCTTTTGGTCAAAAGATTAAAAGGTTGGTCTGACGATCAAATTTTTAAGTTCATATAATAGTTAACAGTGATAAACAAAAAAATAAATTTTTTTGTTACTTTTGATCGGAATTAGAGAAGATTATAGGGTTAGCTAATGAGATTGAACCCCAAAAAAAAATGAGAAGTTTGATGATCCTATTTACTAGAAAAACCATCGAACAATCTCATAAACAATGATGAAATGATCTAATATAAACTAAAAATTTATAACTTTTTATCCACCATTATTAATCATCAGATCAACTCAAAATCAAAATATCTTAATCTTTTGATTAAATAAAACCTTCTTACTGTTAAGATTGATCGATGATCACTCCATTCATCATAAATTTAGGCTTTTGTAGGGGCTGCAAATCTAAAATATTAAGACTTTTTAATAAAAAAGACTTTAATATGTTACATCGATATTGTTTAACTACAACTAGTAAATATAATGAAATTGAACTAAAAAATTTAATGACTATAATACAAGTAAAAGTTTGATAATCAATATAAAAATATCTTAAAAATTCAATGACTACTCCTATACAATAAGAGAGAATTAAAAATTTAATAATAATATGTAAATTTTAAAAATTCAATAGTGAAAATAAAAACAACTTAAAAATGAAAATATCCTAAAAACTCAATGACTACTGGTGTAATTTAGCCATTAATAAATACAAAACTTAATACTAATCGATTACCTTCAGGCCTCGACTCGCTATTGTCTACAGATGGTTAATGGTTGGAGTTAACCACTAATTCTCATAATTATGATTAGATTAGTTTATGTGAATATGTTTGCTCCAATGAGTTTTAAAAGGTTGGAGACTATTTTAAAGGTAGGTTATGTTTTTGGTGGTTTGAGTGTTAATACTAGGAATGAATAGTGTCTTGTAAACCAAGGCAAGTTTCAATGAATGGCTCTGGCTCTACAAAATCCTCATTTTCACAGTTCGATTTATGTAATTACTAATATTAAATTAAAGCTTGGTGATGAAGATGTAGTCTAGATCCGGTAATAATTGTATGAAATTCCTTTCACTTTCGTATAATAAAGGAGAGCTACCATCTAAAGCATTGTTATTAAATCTTGATTTCAATTAAAAGAAATGAAGTAAATTTCAAAAATAGCATAGAAAACACTCGCGATGCTTTGAGTTTATTTTTCAAAGAAAGTATTTATTTAACTGATTATATCTTTCCAAGTTATTTTGTTCCACGTAAAAAGAAAAGAAAAAACCATAGTGCAGGGTTGGGTTAAGTCTTTGTCTGCTTGTCAACCTATAATTATTGTAAGGGCTCGGCCCTTGAGTAGCAAGGGTTGGATTTATTGGAACCCATAACAGATGTGCTCTGGTCGGCTCATTGAAACACACTCTCCGCCTCTAAATTGAGAAGGAAAATAGATTAGGGTTTGATTTGATTATAAACCAATTGATTTTATGTTGCTTAGATGGAGAGGTGAGAGAACGATCAAAATTTCGTTTCCATATGCCTACTTGTATGTTTAACCAAAGTTGGATATTGATGTTGTAATATTAGGAAACTGAGAGTGAAAGTAGCCTACGGAATTAGGGTATAATCATTTGAGCCATAAAACACTTGTTGCAATCATAATAGCATCTTTAAGGGTCAAGCTTTAAGGCAAAAGAAGTGTATTGCTGGTCTTTTGAGGTGAAAAATGGTAACGTTAACTTCATCTGGTAATCATCAATTCTTCCAATTCACCTCCTTCCAGTACTTTACCACCTTTCGGTGTGGGTGTTTGATGAGCGTGAAAAATTATTTGTTGTCATTTTTATTCTTTTTCACATTTGGTGGGGGGGGGGGGCGAGAAATTAAGAAATCCAAAACTTGAAATGGATATGATTATGATCCAAATATACAAAATCCTAAAGAACAGGCACAGAAAATTCCAGAGTTAGTTCCATCGAATTATCAAAGATAACTTGGTAGGAGTTGAATATGTAGAGGTATTACTGAGCTTGCTTCTGCCTTTTGATTCGCTCAAGTGCACCCAGTAGTCCCTTCCCACCCTTGTCTTTGGCAGCAGAGGCATCAATGTCATCGCCATCTTCCCTCTTTCTAACACCTCCAAACACGGCAGACGGGACATCTTTCTGAGCAATTTCAACCCTTTCTTCGTCTGAGTCACTTTCCTCTGGCAAATCAATATCTTCGAGATTTGCTGTTGTTTTCATCCCACCATCCACCTGTGACTCAACTCCAGCACTCACAAACCCTACTTTCCTAGAGTTGTCTTTGGAAACAGTATTATCAGCAGCGGGTAATAAATTCCTCTCAAGAGCAGCCATTTCATCCTCGGACATACCCGCCTGTTTCAATTTGTCTTTTGCTTCATCAATGTTATGATCCTTCTGCATCAGATACTCTGGAAGAATGAAGTGTGTCTGGAAAAACAAAAACAGTGAGAATTACAAACTGGAGGGAAAAAAGTTGCAAAGATTGTACATTAAAAAGTATAAAAGCAGATATATATATTAATACATGCAACTGATAGGTTGATGCATGTTAACTCAGAAACATCTATCAATTTACGCAATATCGAGGTCGACCGCAATTCCATAGCAACAAATGGCATCCTTTCAAGGTAGCCAGAATCTATAGAATTAAATCTAATCCTTAGTTGGTAGCTGATCAATGTAGAGCTTATGCTAATTAATAAATACTAATGCGGTTGTTGAGTTTACAAGGGACATATCTGACGGTAAATAGAAGAACTGTCCCCCTGAGTTGTGTGCAAGGAAAATAAAAAGAACAAGACGCTTACCTGGCTGTAACTTGCAGACACACTCCGTTTAATCCGCAACATTTCTCTGAAGGTATCTTCATTTCCGTGTTGCACCTCAAACTCCCTCCATTTATCCCAAAAATCTGCATCAGAGCGTGGATCAGCAAACTGGGATGCAAATACATATATTCCACGGGCACGGTCAATTTCTCCTAAGCTCTTTTCCAACTCTGCATATTTCAAACACATTGTCTTCACATCTTTATCCGGAAGACCAGACTCTATTGCCTGCTCATAAATTTCTCTCGTTTTTGGAACACCAAAGATCTCAGCTGCACGGGCAATGTAAATCTCATACATGCCGAGTTTCTCATGATTTGGAACAGCCTTGGTTGCTTGATCATAGACCTTCATAGCTCGCTTTGCTAGCCCAAAATCCTCCTCCAGCTTGGCATATTGAAGATAAAGGGGTTTTACTGCATCAGAAGGTGCCTGGAAAAATCAAGGAAAATTGATATGAAAATGATTATCATAAAACATTGGTAATTCAGCATCATTCAAGTCCAATATAAAGTTCGGGTAGGAAAAAAAAAGGAGTGGCAAAAAATAAAGCCGATCATATACTTTATAAAGGTCTCCAAAGTCCAAACAGCCAAATTCATGGTTCCATATAATCGTATTACTGCACAGCTTCGAAACCTATGCCTATCAGCATAGCAATCACCTAACAATTGTTATTTCATGCAGTCTAAGGCACACCGAGTAATGCCATCAAACTAGTATAAAAGTTAAAAATTTGAGGATTTTGGCAAAAATATCTATTTCTGTCTAGTGACCAAGCAGAAATTTTGAAATCAACCATGAACAATAGAAACATTTTAGCATTTAATCTTGGCTACAGATTCTTTAAATGACTACAATGTAATACGTGACCTTAAACCTACTTCGGTTACATAAAATGTAAATCAAGCCAATTGTAAACAAGCCATTCTCATAATACTTCAGCAATAATGATGTCTGCCTAAAGGTCTGAAAGGATAATAATATGCATACGGTTTCAACAGCATGCTCAAACAGTTCCCTTGCTCGTTCCAGTTTTGACTTCCCATATCTCTTTACAAACTTCGACAAATAAGTGACCCATATATCCTTCACGTGCGGATACTTGAATATCTTGACACCTCTTTCATACACTTTGAAAGCATCTTCAAAATATTTGTTTTCCTGCAACAATTTAGAATCCTTGTTAGTCTACAGAACATATTGAGGTGTTTGGTACGGAATGGTCATCCCAAAATCCAAGGTGATCTGTTCAGATATCTAGTACTCAGTGCCCTTCTCTCCTTTTGATATCTAACATTGTGGTCATTATCACTTTTACCTCCCAAAATCCCAACATTTATAATGTTGTAACAAACATGATAATATAATGCTACACAAGTATGGAAATACTTTACCTCCAATAAAAATGCATAGTTTATAATAATTTGTGGAGTAGCAATTCTTAAATCCAGTATTCTCTCATAAACTGCTCGAGTTGACTCCAGAGTACCCAAACTTTCTTCCAAGTCTACATAGAACGTCCACAGCCTCAAGGATTTATGAAGCTTCATCTGAACAGGTTCATTACCGTCAGCAGCCACTGCAAACGAGAAAAAAAAGTAGACCAAAGAAGCAAATATATAAGGTATTATAGATGATACTATTCTCATTTAAAAAAGAAAAGAAAAGAAAAAGGTTTTAAGATGAGATGAAAAAGGAAAGGATATGAAGCAATGCAATAATGAAACAATCAAATCAGAGGCCACTGTTTCAAGAAATATAAACAGGGATTACCTCTTCGTTTGACCTCAACAGAAGGCTCAGCTGTGGCACGTCTCATCAGCTCCAGCGCCCCTTTGAAATTTTTATGCCTCAGTTCCATCTCTGCCCACTCAGCCCATACACTTGCCAGATGATCAACAGTCTTGTAATTTACTTGAACAGCTTTATCAAAAATGACACGAGCATTTGCCAGATCTTTATAAGTCTCATATAGCTTTGCAAAAGCCACCCACAAAGTATGGGGCTTTCCAACAGCTTTCATTGGGTCAATCGTCCTAACTGCCTCTGTGTATGTCAATATTTGCTTGGTGGGATTTCCCTCAAATAGCTTGACCCTACGATGCCATTGCTCCACATTATGTGGATTCTGGCGCAAAAGGACACTATTAGCCAGTTCGGGCCTTCTATTCATTAAATGTTCTAACCGAGCCAACCTCAAATCAACATCATTATCATCATGTAACCAAAACCCCTTAAATATCTTCTTCTCAAACTTTGATTTTGATTTGCATAGAGCAATGTCCAAACGGATGTCCTCTTCATCCTCTTCAACATCTTCTTCCTCATCACTCAAATCCATGTTCTCCATTTTAAGAGCAACCATACTCTCTTCAAATTGTGAATAAGCATCAAATATGACACTGAAATCCCTCACGGTAACCACAGTCGTCATTCCCTCCTCAAAAATATCCCTTGCCTTCTCAAACAGATTTCTTCTGATGTAATAATCAGCAAGTGAAGTCCAGAGTCTCCCAACTTCATCTGTAAACTTTCTAATTCCACCTCTGATTATCGCATCCACATTGAGCCCCGAAACATCTGTCGCATGAGTTGTGAGCAAGTCACACAACTCTAACCACAGCCTATGCTTAGTTTTACCCTTTATTGAATAAAACTGATCATCATTCAAAACAGATGCTAACCTCTCCGCTGCTTCTTGCCACAGACTTGAATTCACCAAAAACTCAATAAAATCCTCAATATGACTAGGATCATACTTCAAATATCTCCTATAAACCCTAAGCGATGTCTCAATGGGGATACCCTTTTGACTGACGAAAACTAAGTAAGGTTCCCAAATCCTATCATGTTGAGTCACAGGCAATGCACAAAGCGCTCGATCAAACGTCCTGCGTGTCTTACTAATCAACTTCTGCTCAGTTAACGTCAGCAAGTACATTATCCAAATCCTAGGCATCTTATGCATTGTGACAAGCGCCCTCTCAAAAGTATTATTAAGGTTTTCATATTGAGGGTGAGTAACAGGTAAATTACGAACAATTTCAAGACGCTCACGCAAATAAGCATGCCAAAGCTTGTAACTGCCAGGCAAAGCTTTCAAGGCTCGCTCGTATATTATGAATCTTTTCTTGAAGGGGGCGTCTGATCTAGCTATTAAATACCTCCACCAGAGTTTCAAACTAAAGGGGTTTCTCAACAGTTCCTCCTCGTAAAGGAGGTCATCGTGAGATGGGTATAGTTCCTTTGCCAGCGACATTGAAGAAAATATCACAAAACTAAACAAAAGAAATATATAAAACGTAACCCTAAATCTAGGCAAAAGAACCGCTTGACTGACCTGAGTGGAGACCTCTGCAGATATTCCTAAAACTGGGAGAAGCCCTTTGGTAATTGATAAGGAAGAAGCTAGGGCTTTTGGGAGAAATCCCGATCCTCAAGCATGAGAAAAAGGGGAAACGAATTGGATTTGGATGGGTATGGGGATGGCGCCCACCAAAAGCAGTGATTGCGTCGTGCTGGATCCAGTGGGTTTTCGGGTTATATGAAGTTTATATAGCAACAAACGGGTTTTGTGTAACCCGCTTCAATATTTTACCAAAAGGCCCAAAGTCCATGAAACATGCTACATTGGACCGAGTAACGGTTCAAGCCATATGTGAATTTGACTGGACCCATTAATCTATACAATATTACCTATTCACACTTCAACTATTGATAAAGTTTTTCTTAATATAGAAATAGCTAATTTTATTAAAAATAAAAAATATTTAAAATTAAAATGAAATTTTATAATTATAAATTAAAATCATAATTATAATATTTCTATATAATAATTAATATAAAATATGATCATAAACTCTATTTTTATACAACATTGTAACTATATATTTTATTTAATTTAGTTTTAACAAATGTTAATTTCATTGCTTTAATTTTCTTATAAAATAAAAAGTTAATTATATATTTAAAATAAATATTTCGAACGATTTTCAACTCCACAAATCAAGCTAGAAAAACAAATTTACTCATTAATTTTAATTCTTTTATATAACTTGATGATTCATAAAAAAAAACATAACGACGCCAGCACCTTTTAAAAAGTACCTGATATTTTTAATTTTATAATCTAGGGTAGTTATTGTAGTAGTAGTATTTGTTTTAAGGGTAAAGCATATGAATGGTCTCCGACTATACGATGTTACTTTATTGAGTCATTCGATTATTAAAAGTTATAAAATGATCTTCCGACTATAAGACATTCCTTTTTTTAAGTCATCTGACTTTTAAAAGTTACAAAATAGTCACCTAACTATTCATTGTATTCCAAACTCGTCCTTTTCCGTCAAATAAATTGGTGTCAATTTGAGTTGGATATTATTCTATTGACTGAGAAATGATATAATATGAACTCAAAATATCAAACGACTATCATATGTCAATCAACAGGTTAACATCCAGCTCAAACTACCATCAATTTTTAACGAAAAAAGACGGGCTTAGAATGCAATAAATAATCGAATGACCATTTTGTAACTTATAATAGTCATGGAACTTAAGAAAGCAACGTCCTATAGTTAGGGGATCATTATGTAACTTTTAATAGTCAGATGACTCAATAAAATAATACTTTATAGTCGAGGGACCATTTGTGTAGTTTACCCTTATTTTAAAAACTCTCAATCTGATAATGAATGCCTAAATACTCTGCAATCTATGGTGTTAGAACCTATAACCTCTAAAAATAACAATCACCATTTAATCACTGAGATAACTTAGTTCTTGCAAAAAAATACTTTACAGTTCATATTAAAATAAATTAGGTTTTCTTGTTAACATATAAAATTAGATAAATATGTAAAGACAAAAATCATATATTATATTTTACATTATATCAATTTTTTTTTTCATAGTGTGATATTATTATAAGATTGTATATGTTTAAAATATTTTTTAATTGTTAACTATAAGCACACAACTATATATAGACACAACTGTTTAAATCTAAAACTTTTAAAAAGTATTATCTTCATTTAATTACTAAGATCATTTAATGAGTTGAATTCTAAAATTTAATTTATATATACCTACCTATGTATATATATCATTTAAGATCAAGCACTACCCTATGATTTTATTGGCTAGAAATGAATTAACGAATGGGCTACGATATTACGGAAGAAACAAAAGAAAATGAAAATAAAAAAGTATTGTTTATAGTATATAAACTATATAAACTATTTTTTTTAATTTTAGATTTTTTATTTTTATATAATATATGTATAAAAAAAATTAAGAAAAGGATAGGGCAATGACTATAGGTAAAAGTCTTGAGAGCTATAATACAAGGGAGCGAGTGTTTTTAACTTTTGAGGTCATCCAACTGCTACACGTAGCTGCCGTAAGCACCTAATAATATATTTCATCCTGCAACTGCAAACAATACAAACTTCTTTGCACGACATTCAAAGCCGCGTTTCACCTTCTTTGTGACTCATTTCCACTCACCATTTTCACATTCTTTTTATATTTGTTGTCCTTTATCATACCAATAAATTAATAAGGTAACTTTTTTGTTCTACTTAAATTTTGTATAGTTAACATTGAAGGCTTTGCCCATTTGGAATGAAGAACTAAGGTAAGAACTTTTCTTGAGTGCTTTCTGTTTTCTTTTTTGTGTTTGATCTTCACTTTTCTGTCTTCTTTAGCGTTATTTTCTTTTTCCTGGCTTCCAGTTTGGTTGCTTAGGGTATCAGATAGAACTAAAGAACAGTGTTAAATGTTTGATGATGAAGAATTCAAAAAGATAAAAGTTCATTTTTTTCCCTACTTTCTGGGTATCTTTCGTTGTCTTTAATGATTTGAACATTGACTGGAATTACGTGTTATGCTGCAAAGTATTCTTTTTTATTATTATGAATTATGAATGGCTGGATGGTAATTTGATTATTCTCCTTTTCTTTTCTTTTTTTCTGTTGTATTGATTCGAATGTTTCGCAGTGAGTACAGCTGTCTGCGCGTGTCCTGTTTACTTCTCCAATCCTCCCAGCTTCTCCAAACCTGTGTCGCAGTGAATAAAGTTGAGTTCCTCCCATTTTATTTGATTCCAAGTTGGCCCATTTATTCGATAATATACCAAGTCTTTACCTAAATGGTCCTCAAGTTATGGCACTATCAAAGCAACAGAGGAGCTTGAGAAAGCTTATGTGAAGGATATCATTTTCTCATCATCTGAATGTGCAACTGCCTAAAGCTTATCGCTCATTTTGAAAAATTAACTTCTACGCTCAAAGCCACTATCCATAGCATTCATTGATGTACAATATGCGTATAAAATGGACTCAATATGGTCATCTCTGGGGTTCCCGTGCCCGCCATTTAGAGCATCGAGCTTCCGCCGCTTCATCTGCTGCTGTCCTGATTAAATGTGTGCTGAATTTTATTAGTGCCATCTTGATTTCATTGAAACTCAATATGGTGGCAATTGAACGAGTGCATCCTTTGCCGTCTGCCCTTTTGCCACAAAGGGAAGACAAAGCTGAAGGAATGGGTTTCAAGGGATTATTAAGCTGATAACAGTGTACACATCTCTGCAATTATCTGATTGTTAAGCTCAAGATGCTATTCGTCTGCTGATTATGGAGAAAATGTGCATGCTGTCAATTTTATTACACTGGAATTTGGAAATTTATCACATTTTTGACTTATAAAATTGTTTAAATTCGATTAATTTGACTTTTTGTCGTGTTAACTATATTATTGATAAAAATTATAAAAACATATTGATTATAAAATTGAAGTAATTGCAATATTTAAAATAATTAAGGTCAAAGTTAAAAGTTTTTGATAAAAAAATTGCTGAAATTCTTCAATTACAGTCGATTGATGAGAATGTAATGGTTAGATATTGTCAAGGATTAGCCCTTGCAGAGCTTTGATTGCTTTTTTTTAAAAAAAAAAAAAATCAAGTTCACATGATTTTCAGTTCTAATGGCAATCCTACGCCATCAGATCATTGAAGGGTTCAAAGATTACACTCTCAACTCCATTACCCCTACGCACATGCATGAAATATGGTAGGCAACTACAAAGCAAGTCAACAAAACTATATAAAATCATCGTAATGCCATCCATCTGCAGGCACTTGATTTACATTCTCAATTCTTTATCTGCGGGTGAGCTCCTGAAATTAACTACCTTAACATCGACCTCACTGAAGAGAGGATATAGTTTCTTATCCCCTCTCCTTTTATGTACAGCCTGTAATGAATAATGCCGATGCGGACAAGTAAAACAAAAACTGTATCGCCATTGACAAAATGATTTCATTCCTTGCTAATGGTCAATATAACATAATGCACTGATCTAACCAGTGGTTGATGTGGGTGCAGATACTTTAGTACAGAAAACTGCTGGAGGCTCCCTGTCAACATCTTGATGATTAGTTCCAAGATTGAGACTACTGCTAATTTTTTTCTTTTCCTAGGCCTCCACCAGGTTGTGTCTGAGTAACTTCTAAATTACTATTACCACCGGAGGTCAACATGCTTTGCTTTCTAAGGTATATGTCGGTGGCATCTTGAAGTAATCTCTGTTGGTAATGCTCAATCCCACATAGTGTTGGAAACACTATTGGGAATGGTATTTAAGGCTTGACATTCCACTTTCTTGTTGAGTGATAGAGAACAAGGGGGGCTCTCGCGCACCGCTGCCGCCGTCCGTCTCGGCTCGGCTCGTGGTCGTGGTCGTGGTCGTACGTGTCTTCGACACGTCCGCGCGGATACTATCTTTTTAGAGAAAATTCTTGAGGAATTTCAAATAATAACAGCTGAATTATTATTTTTTTATCAGAAATTAAACAATTTATTCCTAAATTAAATCAGAAACGTTAAGATGTACCTGGACTGATTTACAGCTTTGTACAGAGGAGACAAGCTGTTAATATCAGGAGTTACAGGAGTTATTTGATTTAATTCCAGGGGTTACATGATATAATTTCGGGAGTTATAACAGCTGAATAATGATACAATGAACCTGGACTATTTCTGAGTCAGGTTCATCTAGACGTTTCAGCTGTTACAAATAAGAGGTTTAATCCTAAAATTTTATGGACGATTTTAACCATATTTCTAGCCTATAAATAGAGAGCTATATTCAGCTTCTCAACTCACTCCAAAACATTTACAATTCACTTACAAAGTGTTTTCTAAAGTTCTCTCTGTGAGTTCTCTCTGAGTGCTTTCCGATCAGAAGTGCAATACCACCAGCAGTCCACTCCGGTTTCGGGTGTACGGAATTCGGAGCGACCGTGTTAACCTCGGGGGACGGTCCGCCTACTGCAACGATTACACACATCGAGGCGAATTCGTTTCTAAGGCAGTGGTTCTTACCACGACACGGTTTACGAATCTGTTCTTCTTAATTACTGTTTATATTTTCAGTCAGTGCTAACGGTGTAGTTTTGCAGTTCATATATCCAACAATTTAGAAACGAATTTCCATAAACTGCAATCATGTCGACACCTTTGAGCAAACTCATTCCCGATCTTTCCAAGCTCGATGCACTTGATGGAAAGAACTATAGAAGGTGGTCCCAAAGAATTCTGATATTCTTCGAGCAACTTGATCTTGATTACGTGTTGCTCAAGCCACCACCTACCATGCCACCAACCCCAGCTGTCGGTAATGATGCGGATGCGATCCTCAATGATGATGCCTTAGCAACTGCCGCCGCCGCTCTCGCTACCTACGAGAAATACGAGAAGGATAACAAGACGGTATGAGGACATTTGCTCAGCCACATGTCAAATAAACTATTTGATATGTTCCTTAGAGAAAGGAGTGCCAAGGCAATATGGGACACTCTCGACAAGAAGTATGGTGCGGATGATGCGGGGATCAAGAAGTACGTTGTCGGCGAATGGCTCAAATTCCAGATGACAGACGACAAACCAATAATGGATCAAGTCCATGACTATGAGAACTTAGTCGCTGACATCATCGCTGAAGGGATGCAAATGTGTGAGGTGCTGCAAGCCAATGTACTCATTGAGAAGCTGCCCAAGTCCTGGTCCGATTACCGCAACTCTCTTAAGCATAAGAAGAGAGACATTTCGCTTGAAGAACTTGTGGGCCATATGAAGATTGAAGAAGCCAACCGTTTAAAAGATAAGCTTACTAATTCTATGAGTAATTTATCTTTTAGAGCTAACTTGGTTGAGTCTAAATTTAAGAAGATCATGAAACGTGGGAATCAAGATAAAAAGACGAAACCACAGAAGGCTACCAACTTCAAGAAGTCAGGAAAGGCCAAACCGGAAGGAAAGACGTTCAAGTGTTATGTCTGCGGTTTACCTGGCCACAAAGCTTACCAATGCCAACACCGCTCAGACCGCCAGAATGACAACAAGCCACAGATGCACGTTGTAGAAGAAGATGATGAGATCATTGCTGCGGTGGTCTCAGAAGTTAATCTGGTGGAGAACAGTTCAGAATGGGTAGTTGACACTGGCGCTTCGAAGCATTTCTGCGCAAGGAAGGAGTTTTTCACCGAGTTCGAGGATGGAAACACTGGTGAACGTGTGTACATGGGGAACTCTAGCAGCTCTGAAGTGCTAGGCAAAGGCAAGGTTTTACTCAAGCTGACTTCTGGTAAAACTCTGGCTTTAAATAATGTTCTGTATGTACCTGCCTTGCGTAGAAATTTGATAAGTGGTGGGCTTCTGAATAAGGCAGACATTAAGTTAGTTTTTGAGGCAGATAAACTTTTCCCGAAATGGTGATTATGTGGGGAAAGGGTTTTTAAGCAATGGTTTATTTGTCATAGAAACTCAATTTAATGAAAATAAAGCTACCACTTCTGCTTATATTGTTGAATCCATTGATATGTGGCATGCTAGATTAGGACACGTGAATATTCATGCTTTAAAGAAATTAATGAATATGAATGTTCTGCCTAAACTAGACACAACTAGCTTTAACAAATGTGAGATTTGTGTAGAAGCTAAGCATACTAGACCTAACTTTAAGACTGTTTCTAATAGAAAGACTGGACTGTTAGAACTTATTCATACTGATCTAGCAGATTTTAGAAACACTGAAAGTAAAGGAGGAAAACACTACTACATAACTTTTGTAGATGATTATTCAAGATATACAAAAGTTTATCTCCTAAGAACTAAAGATGAAGTTGAAAACTTCTTTCTTATTTATAAGGCAGAAGTTGAAAATCAGTTAGATAGGAGAATCAAACGGGTTAGATCTGATAGAGGTGGTGAATATGGATCTAATTTCTTAAAAGATATTTGTGAAAAGAATGGCATAATTCATGAAACATCAGCCCCCTATTTTCCTCAACAGAATGGTATAGCCGAAAGGAAAAATAGAACTTTAAAAGAGATGATGAATTCTTTACTAATAAGTTCCGGGTTATCTGATAACATATGGGGGGAGGCCATTCTATCGGCAACTCATATCTTGAACCGAGTTCCTCATAAGAAATTAGATTCTACCCCATATGAATTGTGGAAAGGATATGCTCCTAATTTACAATACCTGAAAGTGTGGGGGTGTCTGGCTAAAGTGGGCTTGCCAGACTTTAAGAAGTCCACCATCGGACCTAAAACCGTTGATGCAGTGTTTATAGGGTATGCTACGAATAGTGCTGCATACAGATTCATGTTTTTACAAGATTATTCTATTTGTGAATCAAGAGATGCTGTTTTCTTTGAAAATACTTTTCCTTTAAAGGAACCGAGAATAAATATTGAAACACAAATAGAATATATTCCATCAACTTCTTCTAGTAATCCTGCTAGGTCTTTTGAACAAATTGATTTTGAGCCTAGAAGAAGTAAAAGGCAAAGAGTTGAAACCTCTTTTGGACCAGACTTTATTACTTCCTTTATTTCTGAGATAAATGATTTAGACTTCATTTCAGATCCTATAGCTCAAATTTTTCTATTAGATGAGGATCCTAAAACTTTTGAAGAAGCTATAAGATCTATCGATGCTAGTTTTTGGAAAAGCGCTGTTAATGATGAACTAGAATCGATAATGTCTAATCATACTTGGGAATTAGTTGACTTGCCTAAGGGATTCAAACCAATCTCCAACAAATGGGTCTTCCGGAAGAAACTAAGGCCAGATGGTTCGATTCAGCGGTACAAGGCAAGGTTAGTCGTCAAAGGGTTCACTCAAAGGTTTGGTTTAGACTACTTTGATACATACTCCCCCGTTACAAAAATCTCAACGATTCGTGCATTATTTGCACTAGCCTCTATTCATAAGTTGCAGGTACATCAAATGGATGTTAAGACTGCTTTCTTGAATGGGGATCTAGATGAGGAGATTTACATGGAGCAGCCACTAGGTTTTGAGGCACCTGGTATGGAAGGCAAAGTTTGTAGACTCAAAAAGTCACTCTATGGACTTAAGCAGGCTCCTAAACAGTGGTATGAGAAATTTCATAAAACTATTCTTAGTTTTGGTTTTGTTGTGAATGGTTCGGATGCTTGTGTATATTCGAAGATGTTTGAAATTGAATGTGTTATCATAAGTCTTTATGTTGACGACATGTTGATTTTCAGTTCTAACATTGAGTCCATTAACAAAGTTAAAAATTTCTTGTCCACTAAGTTTGAGATGACAGATTTGGGAGAAGTAGATGTAATCTTAGGAGTCAAAGTTACCAAAACTGAGAAGGGATTTTCTTTATATCAAGCACATTATATAGAGAAAGTGCTAAAGAAATTTGACAGTTTTGATGTCGTCCCTGTTCGAACTCCTTATGACCCTAGCATACATCTAGTTAAGAATAAAGGAAGTAGTGTTTCCCAAACTGAATATGCTAAATTAATCGGAAGTTTAATGTTCTTAATGAACTATACTCGGCCTGATATTGCTTATGCTGTGAGTAGACTAAGTAGATATACTCATAATCCGAGTGGTGAGCACTGGATTGCGCTTAAACGCTTACTGAAGTATCTTAAGGGTACTGTGAATTGGAAACTTGAGTTTGTTGGCTTTCCTGCGGTATTGGAAGGATATTGTGATGCCAACTGGGTTTCTGATAATGATGAGGTAAGCTCTACGAGCGGGTATGTTTTTACTTTGGGTGGAGCAGCGATCTCGTGGAAATCATCAAAGCAGACTTGTATTGCTCGTTCTACCATGGAGTCAGAGTTTATAGCTCTTGACCTAGCTGGGCAAGAAGCCGAGTGGCTCAGAAGCTTGTTAGCAGATATTCCGTTGTGGGGAAGACCGACTCCTCCAGTTTCATTGTTGTGTGATTCACAAGCTGCAATATGTGTGGCTAAGAACCAAGCTTACAATGGTAAGAAAAGACACATTCGCATAAGACATGAATCAGTTAGACACTTGATAAAGAATGGAGTGCTCTCTTTAGAGTATGTGAAGTCGGAAAGGAACCTAGCAGATCCACTTACCAAAGGGTTAAGTCGGAAGCTGGTCCTAGATTCGTCGAGGGGGATGGGTCTAAAGCCCATTGGTTGAGGAATTCATGGTGGATACCCAACTTAGTTATCTAAGTTCCATGTGGTCAAACGAAACCATGGAAAGACTCATAGTGCACATTCCTACTGCCTATCCCTATGATGAATAATGTGCATGCCCAGGATGAGCTTAATTGCTCTTAATAAATTCATAGCCCAGGCTTTGGGTGGTCTTAGTGAGAAAGACTTGATGAATTTACCGATTTTGGCTGAATATCTATTCTTAATAAGTTCATAACCCAGAGTGAGTGGGTAGGAAATGATGAACTTACCAACAGAAAGGTTGAGTTTGTTAAACTCTTAATAAATTCAAATCCAAGTATTTGGATGGTTCTAGTGAGAAGGACTTATTGAATTTACCGATAAATGAGGTTGAATATTTATTCTTAATGACTTCTTAGCCCAGAGTTTGGGTGGTTCATTTATAATGAACTTGAAAAAAGTCACCAAACCCTTTGTGAGGTTGAGCTATTATAAAAGCTCTTAATTATTTCATATTCCTTTTTAAAGGGTGGTTTATGTTGAGATAAACTTGATGAAATAACCTATGTAAGTGAGAAGGGTTAGCCGCCTTCTATGAAAAATGTTGGGCTATTTTTCTAGCACACTTACTAGAATCCTGAGGTAAGATGGCCAAATATATACGTTTGTATATATATATCTTACACATCGAGGACTCAGGTGGATGAAGGGGTTAGTTGTGTGTTATGAGTTTACCCTGATCTTAGAAAGTTCCAGACTAATTTCACTTATCTAAGAGAAGGATTGCTCATCATCACTATGTACTAGTTCCAGATATGTTCACTAGTGCTTAAGCAACTAATCTCGCTATTACTCTTCTGGAAAGCTTGTTTTCGAGTTTCAGAAGATTTCTTTTGCATTAGTGGGGGAATGTTGGTAATGCTCAATCCCACATAGTGTTGGAAACACTATTGGGAATGGTATTTAAGGCTTGACATTCCACTTTCTTGTTGAGTGATAGAGAACAAGGGGGCTCTCGCGCACCGCCGCCACCGTCTGTCCGTCTCGTCTCGTCTCGGCTCGGCACAGCACGGCACGGCTCGGCTCGGCTCGGCTCGGCTCGTGGTCGTGGTCGTGGTCGTGGTCGAGGTCGTGGTCGTGGTCGTGGTCGGGGTCGTGGTCGTGGTCGTGGTAATACGTGTCTTCGACACGTCCGCGCGGATACTATCTTTTTAGAGAAAATTCTTGAGGAATTTCTCTTTGAAAGAAACAAATGGAAAATGTGAAAGATATCAACTGATATTTATAGGCTGCTGAGGACTGTTTGAATTTCAAATAATAACAGCTGAATTATTATTTTTTTATCAGAAATTAAACAGTTTATTCCTAAATTAAATCAGAAACGTTAAGATGTACCTGGACTGATTTACAGCTTTGTACAGAGGAGACAAGCTGTTAATATCAGGAGTTACAGGAGTTATTTGATTTAATTCCAGGGGTTACATGATATAATTTCGGGAGTTATAACAGCTGAATAATGATACAATGAACCTGGACTATTTCTGAGTCAGGTTCATCTAGACGTTTCAGCTGTTACAAATAAGAGGTTTAATCCTGAAATTTTATGGACGATTTTAACCCTATTTCTAGCCTATAAATAGAGAGCTATATTCAGCTTCTCAACTCACTCCAAAACATTTACAATTCACTTACAAAGTGTTTTCTAAAGTTCTCTCTGTGAGTTCTCTCTGAGTGCTTTCCGATCAGAAGTGCAATACCACCAGCAGTCCACTCCGGTTTCAGGTGTACGGAATTCGGAGCGACCGTGTTAACCTCGGGGGACGGTCCACCTACTGCAACGATTACACACATCGAGGCGAATTCGTTTCTAAGGCAGTGGTTCTTACCACGACACGGTTTACAAATCTGTTCTTCTTAATTACTGTTTATATTTTCAGTCAGTGCTAACGGTGTAGTTTTGCAGTTCATATATCCAATAATCTCATCATGCTGCCGGAATGAGAACCAGGTGAAAGCTCTTCTTCTCGCTCAGGTTGGATATTCAAGTCAATTTGGACTTTAAAAGGTGAAGTTGAAGATTTTACTCTGTTAGGATCTTCATCTGAACCCTTGGTGGCAACCTTTTTTGGCTTTGGGCTGTGAATTTCTGCATTTGTACAAGGGGGAGGGTCACCATCCCCAACTTTATTAGCCAACAAAGTTTGCTGCTTCTTGCCAGTGGTTTCAGTTTCTTTCTGTGACTGTTTCTTCTCACGCCGCAGCATGAGATCGTCTCTTCACTGTTCACAAACATTACAAGTACATGTCTGCTTGTGTTTGGGGCCTTTCCCACTTGGGGGTTGAATGCATACGATACATGAGCACCCAGGTCTATGCCGGGGGTGCTTTGTGGTGACCTGAGATGAAGCCGGGAGAGCATCACCCTCTCCCAAGATAGCTAGGTTGGCAAGGGTGTCAAGACCCTCTAAAGCATCTAAGTTTTCTGGTACTGGTTTAGTGGCCTTCATTTTCTTAGAAGCATCTGTCAATCACAATCACAACAAATTCGCTAATTTCACAATGGTAAAAAACTACAAGAATCAGCTTTACAACTCAAATCATCAAGGAATCAAATTCATGCATAGTTTACTCCAAGTGAGTTTCAGAAAACATTAAGTGTTTTGTTTTCTTCAAGCAACAAATACCTGGATTACTTTGTGGCAGCAGATTTTCCAGCTGTTTGGCAGTCAATTATTGAGTGGCCGAACAAGAAGATCTGCCAGCATTGGTAGATAAAGGAAGAGTTGAAGAAATGGCCATAGAAAAACAAATTTTTAAGCTTTTCACTTTTTTCCCAGGGTCCCCCCTCTTCAAAACCATTAAATTTAGTTCTCGACAGGTTGGCATTAAATTGATTTGGTTGCAGAGTGAAATCAATGTGTTCTTACCTTTCTGGATCCCATGAGTTACTGGAACATGTCCACTTGGAAGGAAGAAGTAAATTAGAAGGCAATTTTCGCCACTTAAAACAATCTTCACATGGAGCCCATTGGATCTTTACCCTGACACAAAAGAAACAAAAATTGTATTTACTTGGTTTAAGACAGCTGTTGCGAGTTGCGACCAAGTTACAACCAAGACGATTAATTTTCTTTAATACAGGCATTAGCATCCAAAAGAAAGTGAGTTAACCCATAGTATCAGTAGCAAATATTGTTGGCTTCCCAAGAATCACTGCATCCTGTTATTAAACAATGAAAGTGAGAAATTGTGGAACTACTACAGAAAAGGGAAGAGAGAATCCCACGGAAAAGATAGAATTTGTGGAATATATAAATATCAAAAGACTACTAATAGACAACCTTAAAACAATGAATTGATTAATTAGTAATCACATCCTAGCAAAAGCAAAATGAACAGTCAATGATGAAAATGGATTACATCTTTGAACCAAAAAGCTTGAAAGGGGCCAGAATGAGAAAGAATGAGATGTCGTTCTTGCATTTAATTATTCTGGTTCTGTGGTGGCATCCATAAACAGCAAACGGTAAAAAAAGTTTCTGAGTTGGTCAAGGGTGTACCAACCATAGAATTCTAAGATATGAATGTTAGAGTTCAATTTGCCAAAATTGAGAAACAAACACTAGAAGTACAAAATAAAAGTGGCTTCTATGACTGCCAGTTACAACCAAAAGTGATTTCAATCACAACAGATATTAAATGTGGTCAGAAAAGAAACAAATCAATAAAGATTTAACATACATCGTATTCTTCAAACTCAAAACCTTCAATGACTAAAACACTTGCTACATGATTAGGAGGGGGGACGAAGCAGCCCTTGAGCTTCTTCCCACGTTAACTTCAGCTCTATAAAGTCTTCATTATCAATTCTTACACGCTTACTCTTTGAACCTAGCATGCTATTCTTCCTCTTTCTGAAACTGCTACTTTGGCTCCTAATGCTTCCTTTGCTATGTATCCTGACTTATTAATTTTTTACCATAAGCTAGGATCTGCCATTTCAGCCTGGTTCATAGATAAAAAGCTACGTGAACCTGAGCTATTTTCAAATAATAATACAGTATATCAGCAGTTTTATGTTCTGAGGCACTGACATCTCCATGCATAGAAATTCCACTACTAGTTTTGGCTTCATTGTCATGAAATAAAAATGCACAAAATATAGCTTTTAGAAAGACCAACAATAAGTTCTACTATAATTGAAGTGTAATTGTATCATGAGAATGAAACAAAGGGAACAAAAGCACTCGTATGAACCAGTTCTATTGCATTTTATCTTAGCCGTAGAGCATATAGATGCACAATCAAAATAGATGCAAAACCTGATCAGATGCTGAAACAGTTGAAGCCTTTCTGAAACCTATGATCAACTTCCCTCCATGCTCTAACAGACTAAATGTTACTGCAGAAACAACATAACTATGAGTTTCAAGATAGGTGCAAGTATAAACTGATAATGCATACTGCCATGATCATAGAGAAAAAGCTAGGGGCATGTAAGAAAGAAAAAACAAATGTGTAGACACCCATTTTTGTCCGGGTTTTTTTTTATTATTATTAATTATTATTAACTATTATTATTATTATTATTTTTAATTTTACATATTACACTTTTGCAGGCTTTGAAGCCCAATTCAAATTACAAAGGCCCAATCCCGGAGCCCAACATTCAACAGACCCCTCAGCGACACCTGAACCGGTCCAGGCCCAACACCCAAACCAGCTAGGGTTTTATCATTTTCAGCTTCCAGACGCCCAAATCCCAGCCGTTGGATCTAGACCCAAATCAACGGTCTAGATCAGAAGCCATTTAGGGTTTTTAAAAACCCTAACCGTTCAGTAGCCGTCGCCCTCAACAGAGGAAATGTCGCGTCACCGCCGCAAGTTCCGGCCCACTCCGATGATCTAGTCACTGTTACCACACCACCATCGTCATCTACAGTGAAACATATCACCAAATCAGTCTATATTTCATCTACAGTAGCCTAAATCCGAGAACCCATTTAAAAACAAATTAAATCCTGAAAAATCGGGATGTAATCATGCAAAGTCAGTGAGACCCATCCCCTATTTTTTCTAGATATCATCATCTCATCCAAAAAGGAGAGGATAAAAAAATCAACAGGCAATGAGAGAGGATGGATTCGGGGTTTTAAAAAAAAAAGACAGAAAAAAAGAGAGCTCAAGAAAAAGAAAAACAAAAAGAAAAACAAAAAAAAAACAAAAAAAAGGAGAGGCATCTTACCTTTTGAGAGAGATCCGAGCGTTGTATCCTCGCCGGAGTGAAAAGGAGCCACTACCGAAGGTAAAACAACCTCTCTTTTCCTAGATCTAGTTTTTCTTAGGGGTGGGTTTTCGATTGTTTTTTTGGTTGGTTAAGGTCTGGGAGAAGAAGTAGAGTGGTTAAGTTTGTGGTGCTCCCCGTGGCCACCGACTTACGGTGGCCGGGGAGCCGCGTTGTTTTCGTGAGGAGAAACGAGGAAGAATGGAGAGGGAGAGGAGAACGAGTGAGGCGGCTGAGGGAGTTGGGGAATGAAAATAAGGTTTTTCAAAACCCTTAAGATGGTATAATCACCGAGTGAAACGGCATCGTTTAAGGGGCTTGGGGGTCTGCGTGTTTTTACATTTAGGGTTAATAGCAGTATAGGTCCTTCGTCTTTTGTAATATCAACTGTGTCCTTTTATTTCTTTTGGGTTAATGTCAACTTGAGCCCCTGTTTCTTTGTGTTCTCACACCCGTTTTTTCATATTTTTGGGACAATTTTTATTTTTGGTCCCTATTGGTTTGTAATACTCTGTTTATTTGAATGAAACTTTTATGATATTTTATTTTGAGCTCGCATCTTTCATGTTTTAAATTTGTGCCACTCATTTATATGTTATATTATTTTCGTTTATATTTGACTCTTGTTTTGACATTCGTAAATATGTTATTTTAGTCACTGATTTTAAATGTCGTATATTCATGCTGTTTGCCCTTGATCTGTTATTTTATTTAATTGTTGTCCTTCATGTACCAGTTTGTAAATTTATGTATTTTATGTTTTGGTTGTTATGTTTAGCCTGGTATTTATTTTAGTCATTGTTTCTGATTTATTATTTAATGTTAAGGGTTTATTCCTAATTGATTCTGGTTGTTTCTTTCTCTTAGTTTTTGGTCCTTGAATATATTACTATGAATTGTGATATTTTATTTTATTCTCACTTTATATAGTCATACATAGTTACATATTATTATTTATCAACGAAATTCCTAATATATGGGTATTAAACATATTAATAAAATGAGTTCATTCGAGTTTTCCATGTATATATGTTTATTTGAATGTATATGATTGCACCCTATATGTGTATTATTGTTTCATGTATTCTTTGTATGGTAGATATTTTCTTTATATTTTAATATGGTATATTTATTAAATATTATTATGTTTCTTTTATGAATAAGTATATATATAAACAAGATAAATGTTGGTCATATTGATATTAAATACATGTTCTTGTTTAATTTGTTACTACGTGTATGTACACGTTATTCATTAAATACATTTTAATTAATATATATATATATATATATATATGGTATTCTTTTATTTGTTAGTGTCAATCGAATATTTTCAAGGGCATTATTTGTGGAACGGGCGTGGAAAGTATCACTTGACCGAAGTGGTGCAATCCGATACGACGTTCAAATAAAATATGGATTTGAAATCGCAAATTCTTCCTTTGTACGAGCTTATGAATTTTTTTTACTGTTATTCTATTCTTGTTATTTTATTTTATTTTATGTTCATATTGTTTAATGTTTTAAATTTTAATATTTATTATTATTATTTTTTATTTATTTCTTGATTTTTAATATGAATGATGTATGTTTTGGGAAAATAACATATGATGCATTTTATGTCAATTTTCGATAATATTTTTAAATTTAAAGAGAGAATATTCTTTACGAGTAAGAAATAGACGAGATAGTTTTCCCGGCGGAGGATTGCAAATCTCGGGATTTCTTGTCGAGAAAAGGGTTTTTTTTCTTTTATTTTAACTAATATTTAATAAATAGATCATAATTTATTTATTATTCTATTTTTATAATTTTTATTGTATTAATGGTTTTTATGTTAATATTAACGATACATGTTTTAGATAAATTAAGCATATTTTATTTTCTACTCATGTCGATATTATTTGGTGGTAATTCAAAGATAGAATATACTTTATAGATGAGAAATAGATGAGATAGCTTTCCCGTTGGAGGATTGCA